AGCTCAGAATTGGGCCCCGAAAGCTTAATCTTGGAGAAGCAGCTTTAGTGCTCTCTGAAGCGATTTCCCCCACCCCAGTCTCCACTAAGAGCAAATGAACTTCTGATTTATTTGCTTTTAAAACTCATCCGTGTTGGAGTCCTAGCTAGTCTCCGGCAGATAACGTTCTGCAGGTCTTCCCATCCTCTCCGCCCAACATAGGCATCTTTCTTTTCCTTTGCTTTTCTCTAATCCCAACAGCAGCAGTTCTGAATCTCCCGGCGTGTGGAAAGCCATCCAGCATCCACCACGGAACATGAGGTCTAACTCTCTGCAAGGTGGGGGAGAGGTTGCTTTTTTTGATATACTTTTTATATATCCAGATCAGTGGCAGTACTTTAATAGAGTCAGGTGAGACTGTAATTCAAGTGGATTAAGGGTCTAACCCATTGACAGGTATATTGTGTTCATCTGCTTCCTCGCAGCTAACTATTTTTAAAAAGTTGCACAGCAAAATTTGCTTATTGTCCTCTATCCACCCCCCAAATTTAATGTCAAAAACCAAATTCTCTACATCACTTGAAAGCAACCTGGGTTGGCAACTTGTAAACTCAAAGCAGCCTAAAGCATTTCAGGGCTTTCCATCTTATGTGGCTTTTCAGAAACTATGCTCAGCTCCATTCTGCCTCGCTAGAGGTCTTTCAATATCTGCCCGGGTTCAGCTCAGTTCATACTTATTTTTATGAATGGTAGTCGTAGCCTGAGTAGAGCATACACCTACGTATGGAGCAGCTTAATATTGCACTCAGATGGACACAGAGATCAGAATTACTCAAGTTTGCACATAAACATGAAAAGGTGCATAAGGATGAAAAATGCAAAGCATCACCCAGGACGGCTGGATCTCAGGCAGTCCCCCTCATGGAGAGGGTGCTCAGGCACAGGGATGCACTGCCCAGGGAAGTGGTGGAGTCACCATCCCTGGAGGGGATTAAGGAGAGGCTGGATGTGGGACTGGGTGCCCTGGTCTGGCCCATGTGGTGATGTTGGGTCATAGGCTGAGCTGGATGTTCTCAGAGGGCTTTTCCAGCCTCAATAATTCTGTGATTCTGTGTGACCTAACTTGCTTGAGAAACCCGAGGATTAAATCTTTCAAAGCACTTGATCAACCTTTTGACTGTATTCACATCGCTGCAGGTGCCAGGAATGGCATTATAGATCCTGCATGGCCAAAAGCAGAGAAAACCCCCACACCTGAGTGCCAGATGCCACAACCCGAGGAGCCTGTGTTTACTTGCTCACATCATGTAAGCACAAAACGCTTTCAATTTCTCAGGAAGGTCATGCATTTAAAGATCTGGACTAAACCCTGAGGATACAAAACCAACTCTGTTAATGAGCGTGTCACTACAGGAGAACAAACGTCAGCTCAGGGCGATGCCACCTGGGGATCCCCCCCAGCACAACGGCTATTTCGTATCTGCCCTGGATGGTCTCTGCCAGGCAGGGCTTCCCCACAGTTACGACCTCTTAAGCATTGAAACGGAGCCAAGAAACCTGTAATGCCCATGTGAAATACTTCCTGCCCTGTGTCTCTCCAAGAGAAGACACACGCGTCAGGCTTCGGTCTGAAACAACCAATATTACCTGACCTGCAGCTCCTGCGATGCAGGAATCTGGCACACATCAACCAGTGTATGTCCCTAACAGGGTGTGAGGATAAAAGCTGAAGCCAAACAGATGGTCTTCTAAAAATCTTCCCCAAAGTGTTCTGTGTACTAAAACATCACTTACCCAACTCTCATCAAACTTGGCTTGATTTGCAGGTCTCAAGCCAAGTTTGAAGAAAAATAGTCAGCTGGAAACATGCAGGGAAATGAGCCTTTTCCCTGCACTTAAATAATATAGAAATGAAGCTGTTTTGTTCAAACCTTAGAAAAAATGCAGAAAAACAGAGCCCAGCGCTCTTAGGTTGAAAACAAACACTGGAGTGGAAAAAAAAAATCAACACAGAATGCAAAGTGATGAACAAATGAAAAAAAGAAGTGGAAGAACTGGAGCTAAAATGTATAATGACCTATCAACACATTCTATAATGTGCACAGAATTTCGGTGAAGACGGAAATCACATCTGCACAGAATATGGGCAGCTATTGTTTGAAAGCACAGAGCAATGTTGCACAACACTTCAGGGTCCCAATTTTCCCTGTCACACGCCCACAAACACAGTTACTCATCAGTAGTCCTGGCTTGCAACAACTGGGTGCTCAAAATAGTAGCCACTAATTTTAGCAGCGTGTGCAGGATTAGCAACCGAGTATTGCATTCAGTTAATAGAAGAATTTAACTGGGCACCATTAAAATATTCCAACTGAAAATTATGTAAATTTTCTGAATTCAACAAAAGGTGCCAGGAGAAGTGTTAACAGCCACTAACTAGATGAATAATATTGAGCCACTGCAAAAACATACCTGCATTTCCATAGTAACTTCTCTTAAGTATACAGCTTTTATTTTTCACTGTATTAAAAGTTTGTGTGAACATATGCATCTTTTAACCAAGGAAGAAGGAATAGCAGTTCTGAAATAATACTACCAGAATGAGATCCAGGTCTTGGTCTCTTAGAACTTTGGCTTGGGGTGGCGAGGGCAGGGAGAAAAATTGATCTGCCCAGTGAATGACAGGTTCTTGCCAGAAACAAAGCTCTACATTTGTAATTAGGGAGACCCAAATTCTTTAAATATAATTTGATTACACGTCGTATTTTAAAATTGGGTTTTCCCTACCATTAATTTGAACTGTCATTCTGAAATTGTTAGACACCCTTGCAAAAGTACACCCTAACTGTAGTAAAATATAACCAGGTTATAGCCAAAAAACTTTTTATTTTTTTTTCTTCTCAGTAAATGGATCTTTTTTCCTGCTGTGAGCAGGTCTGTGTGCTTGTGCGATTACACAGTGTGACTCGTTTCAGCTTTTTTGCTTCTGCTCTGCACGGTTTACTGCATAGACATCCCTCAATGAGAAAGTCGTTAGCTTAATAATAATTCCTGTCAGATCCTGAATGAGATATTCCGACAGATATTGCAGTGACTCCTGAGGTAAATAAAAGGACAGTTTTATCTTCAGGATGAGAAAGAAAGAGTACACTGCACTAAATGACTAGCATGGTTTCTCAGGGACTAATTGTTAAGCAGGAGTATTTATGATCAAAGGATTGGAGAATGGGACTATCATTGCGAGGCAATTATCTATACACAAATAACTGTAATACTTTGGCATTTTTATAACCACTACGTTATTTATTTTACTATATATTCCATCACAGCACCATTCCCCTGGTTACAAGTATGCATTACCACATACCTTTTTTTACTTCATAATAAATTAAAATAAAACAGCTGAACACTTTGAAATAAGTTGAAGAACAATAGGTCCTATTTAAGCATCAAGTACAAGAGCATTTAACTTTTGTGCTTTTGATCAATATTTGTGTGACAAGCTATTCATTAGTCTTTTCCTCTGCCAGTTTAATGCTGTTGTTCTTCCCACAGCCTGATCTCCACTTTTGTGTATTTAATTTATAACAGTTTCCATGGAAAAGAAGCATTCAAAGAAAAAAAAAAGTGCTGATACAGCACGTGGATCTTTCTACCAAGCCACAAATCTTTTCTAATGTTCATCTTAAACTGAAAGCAATTCTGGGAAACAAATTAATGATATAAATCACATTATCATTACTCACATAAAGATACTCTGTTGTAACTCTCTCAGTGAGTAGCTATAAGAACTCTATACGGAGAAGGCCTGGTTTTAATTAAATGACCTAAAAATAGAGTCGCACGTACATCTAGGACCAAGCCATCTGTGTTATCTCTCCGAGATAAGTCATTATACACCCGCAATGATATCCCTTTCAGCACTGCAGATACTCAGAACTAGGACTGGCCTTTTGTCGCAATTTAGGAAGGGAAAAAGGAAAAATAAGCAACATTTTAATCCCGGCAACACTTTTCTGAAATCTCTTTTCACACCTACTTCTGTCAGTCAGCAACATGATTCAAATCCGTGTCCCGCGAATGGTGGCAGCAGCCAAGTAGGATTTCTCCATGAAACACTTTCCCAATGGGAAAGTTTCTAGTGGGCTGTTTGCCTTGTTTGTGTGTGATAGGCTTTGCTTGGGTTTTCTCTCCTCTTTTTTTTTAACTACTTCAAAATTTTATTTTTTTCTCCTCAATCTGACAATGTGAAAAGTGAGCTGGAACAAAACTGGACCTGAGTTAAGAAAGTTCGGGGCGAGAGATTTCCGTGACATCCTTGGCGATAATAAACAACAACCTGTCGTCATACTGCAAGCAGCAGACCAAGGAGACAGAAAACAGCCCTTTTCTCCTAAAACCACCTCCACGTATTATCTGCCAATGTCTGAGGGGAAAAAAAAAAAAGGAGGAAAGCTTATCAGGGCCTGTCAAGAGGGGGAAACAATCCCTGCTCAGTCCAAGCCAATGAGACATTATCCCCTTGTAAGGCAAAGAGAATGCAGAGAGCGATGAAGAGTCTGTCCCCCTCATCACACATGGGACAGCATTCAGGCTCCAGGTAATGTCTCAGTCAACAAAGCCACTTTATTTACAGTTTTTCTTGAAGTTCTTGCTCTCAGATTGTATTTAATCAAAGAAATGTGTTTGTTGCACTCTCCCCTCCTGCAGGTTTGGGGCTGTTCGGCTATTGTATGGTACCATCTCGAGCAACGTGTGTTAATCTCTTTAAAAAAATTATTTCACTTTAAGCTTCTATTTCTGCCATCAGAAATGAGAATGTCACTTTCCAGTAAAAGGGTATTAATTTCTACCAAAGACCTCATCCATTTTCTTTAAGTAGGTAAGTAACATTTTTAGACAGCAGACTCTCTACGAAAACATAAAAAATACTCTTAAAACCAATATGATGAAGGAAGTGTGTTTACTTTCGCCTAAAGCATTCTAATTAGAATGAAATATTAGGCAAAACGAAGACTAACCTTTGAATAAATGTCATATATCGGTCTCCACTGTTCTCCACTCAAAAGGAAGGGAATTGTTATCTCATAATCTTTTGACTGGTCCTTTGGCATCTGCTGTCTTGAAGACTCCAATTTGCTGTCCACATTCTCACCTAAGGACAGGAGAAGCACTTCTTGTTAGTCCAGAACAGCATCTGACAACATGAACCTTGTTATTTAAGGGACTTGGCAGCATATTTCAAAAGGAAAAAAAAAATCAGGAAAATAATTAAGTATTAAAACATTGTGGGGTCATCCTGTTAGTGTCAAAACCTACACAAATTTCCAGGGTTCTGGGAGGGAAACGTCGGAGTTGATAGGATGACATGCTTCTGTAGCAGCAGAAGACAAAGATTTCACAGAAGGAGTAGAGATACCAGGGAGCAAAGATAAGGAATTGAGATCCAAGACTAAAAGAAAAACCTCAGAGAAGTACTTGCACCGTTATCTGAAGTGTAACATTTATAATGATACTAGAGTTTGGAGTTTTTTCCCATTGAAGGTGGAGGAGGGAATAGGATAGGTGGCTTTTCAATGTCATCATTAAGAGGCTAAGCATGGTGCAGGGGTTTAGAAAAGATAAGATTTTATCACGTCTGTTGTTCTGTAATTAAGTTTAGAAATCAGCCTCACTCATTCCACTCCCCAAACTTTCTTCTCACCATCATCTTCCCAGACACAGCCTCACCAAATCAGACACAAAGCAGTGGTGGTAGGAGGGGGTTTGGTACCCACAGGGATGTACCTGGAGCCCTACCCTCCCTGGGGTGAACAAACCCTGGGGTTAATGATACAGGCTCCCTAAATGCTGACAGTGACCCCAGATTTTCCCTTACATCCTTCCCGTTTCTGCGGTGGGGTCAGCTGCTCACCTCACTTGGAGACTTGGAGTCCCACCATAGATGCAACACCCTGCTCTGAGGTTCCTGAAAACTCCAGCTTTATTGTACATAGCAGAATCCCCACATTTAATCCTTGCTATTTTATTATCCCCCAAACACCTCTTAATGCACCATCTTATTCCACTAGACATGGAAACATACAGTTGTGTTCCATTTTAACTAGTCTGAACCATGTACAACAAAAGACTGAGTATTTACTTAACAGCCTCAGCATTTCTACACATACATGCCCAGGCCATAAAGTACTGAGAATCCTGTCATGTCAAGGATGCACATTCTCATTAGTGGGAAAAATGTCTGGAAGAGAATATAAACTCCCATTGAAATAATGCTCCGCTCCTACACAGTCAGATGACTTTAATTCATACAACAATGTCAAAAAGCTATTTGCATGCAACATTTATCAAGTGGTTTTTTGCTCTCACTAAACACACGAATGGCACTGTGCCTGTCAAAGCACAGTCCTAAAAGCCAGTAGTGCAAGAGCTGGAAATGGCATTGAGAATAAAAGCTTGAAGAGAAGGTAGGGGTGGCTTCCAGGACACTCAAAACGTTGGCAGGGTTTGCCATGCTCTTCACGTACCACCACAGTGAGCCCTCTGCTGCACTCGGACCCCATGAAGACCTGAGTCTTCACAGGTGCACTAGAGATGTGTCCATCCTCCATTAAGAGGCAGATATAATGGTGTTACCTTTCTTTTCCCTTTCTCCCATTGCCCTTTTGCTAGGAGGGGGAGCGGGAAGGTGATGGGGCTGTGATTTATCAGGGCTCAGGGCTGGACTCTGCTTGGGAGCAAGAAGAAAGCCATAAGGTCCGACCTGCCCACACTGCCCGTTGCTTGGTCCTGCCATCCCAGCAACCCAACCTACCCTCTCTGACCCTCAGAGAGTGTTCGGTGACCAGAGAGCTACGTTTTGAGCAGAATGACCTCAATTCACAGTCACTGTTAGCATTAGCTTAAAAACATCTATGCAGTCATTAGGGTTGAGCTGACATGGGTGGAAGACCAGCTTAGTATTTTCCAGCATGCTTTTAAAAATATGGCACTTTCCCTATCAAAAAAGATTAAGTTAAAAAAGTGAAATATACTGTGTAGAGGAAAGTTTCTTGTTAGATAGATAGAGAAAGGGTTGTCACCTCACCCTCAGCGCAGCCCAAGCCCAAGTGATCAGGGTCTGGGAGGTTACAGTCTCAGCCCTTGGAGGGGATGCTCCCAACCCAGCATATGACTGGGTTCACTCCTGTGGTGGCATCTGAGATACCTCCTCAGCTGCCTAGGAGGGTCTAGACAGAACCTCACAGCTCTTTATTCTGATTATCAGGCACGAAGTTCCCTGCACAGAACAGAAATTAATGAAGCATAGCTCAGAGAAATGAGAAAAGTCTGGCTCTAGTCCTGATTTTTTTTTTCTTGGCTCACTAGAGCAGTCTCAACTATATGAATTAAATGACTCAGGCCCTTCTATTATTTTGTAGGATTTGCATTCTGAAAGTTTCATGAGATTTAAAATTTAAGAAACCCTTCAAGCACACTTTTCCTCCCATTATGGAGCTGCAGCTAGATATCAAGAAGCATCAAAATCGTTCTGGTATTCCTACATGTGCAAGCTGCCTCCCTTATTAATTCTGCAAAAAAATTAACATCACAACATTACCCAAAAGAGAAGGAAAAGGGGAGGGGGAGGGATCAGCATTTGTGCACAGATGTGGTATTCTCTCATTACATGACATGGTCCAGAAAGTGCAACTGCTATAAAAATATCACAGGAAAAGGGAACAATATCTACACCGAGTGTGGTTCAATTTTGCCACTCCTCCTTTTATTCCATTACGACAAAGTGATGCTTGTGGTGCATAACAAAGTAAGGTTACAATGAGCAAATGTAATCTTACACACATGCTTACTTATCTGCGCACTGAAAATGCATATTCTGCAGAAGTGTTGATAGTCTGGAGACAGACATCAAGACAGGTTTATAGGCAGCAGTTATGTCTTTATTAGAAAAGATAATTTATTTGGGGGAAACCAAGCAGACAAGCTTTAGGGATTGCAAACTCTTCTGAAGCCATAGCATTTATAAAACACAAGATCAATTTCTGTCTGGTTGCTTTCCTTCAGCCAAATATTTTGCTGCTTATCTGAGTGTTTTTATTTAAATTATTGGGTGTGATAAAAATCACAGCTTCCTGCAGAAGGCAGGGAAAGCACTGCAGCCCACTCATGGGGCCTCATCTGAAGAGCACTGGGGCACATGCAGAACATTATGCACTTGCTTAACTCCCAACCGTCCTCAGTGAGATATGTGCACATTACAGTTTCTTTTGTAAATCAAATTACATTGTTTTTTCTCATTTAAGGTCATTGCATTTATGTACTGTGCATATTTCTCAAAGAATAGACCCATATAACTGGTAGGCAAACTCTAGATCAGTCTTTAAACATCAAAGTAGGGGAAGATAAAGATGTAAATCCTTTAAATAGGATTCTGCAACCTGATCGCAAAACCTCAAAGAGCACATGGCAAAAAAATAAGGAATCACAGCCAACACAGAGAGACACAAAGTTCCATCTGAGATGGGAAGAGCCACAGCATCTAAAGGGCCACCAAGCCTGACCAAACAACAGGACACATGCACAGGAGACATGGGAAGAGGAAGACTCTAAGTCAGGGGAAAAAAAAACCAACCAAAAAAGCATAAGGAGAGGGTCAAGACAAAAAAAAAAAACACCCTAGGTGTAGAAATTGAAGCTGAAGCATGCAGGAAACTTTGAAAAAATGGGATGAGCAGATGTGCAGCCCCTGAGAAACCCTGAGTCTGAGCAGCGGTGTGGGCTTCTGGGTAGGTGCAAAGGTGGGAGGGCTGCTGGCAACCTCGGAGAGCCTTCAGCACACACAGTCCTTGCCTCAGACAAAGTCGGAGTTTACCCCACTGAGGGATAGGTCACCCAGTCTCTTCAACAACGGCTGAACAAAACACACTTTCAGTTTTCTTCTCCTCATTTTGGGCCACCTGTCTCCAAAAGAAAGTCCAGCCCTCCTGAAGAGCATCCACGGGGCACCAGGAGAGGAGCAGGATGGGATGGGACCAGACATCTGCTCTGACGAAGGGTTTCCATCACCTTGATCACATCCCCTGAGCTCCCAGTGCTGCAGTTCTTCATGCATGCAGACATGCTGTTATTTCCTCTCTGCCACTCTTCATCTCCTTTCCCCATTTTCATTATGATTTCTTTGAAGGTGGAACCATTAGAGTTGTTTGCATTACATTAATAATGAATTCTCTTCTCTATGAGGACTCTTGGTATTACAGCAATATAAATAGTATAATAATTGAAATCAGAGAATTTGAATTTCGGTAACGTGTCACGAGAAGGGAAGAAAATCAGGCCATCTGTATTACCAGAACCTTTTATTAGATGCAGGCTTCCTATCTTTTGTGTCACACGCACCTACTTACTCACCTACTTATTTTCCATTTCAGTGAAATTCTGTCCAGTTCTTCCCAGCACAAGCTCCTCTCCCACTTTCTCACACGAAAAACTTCACAGTCGTGTCTATCTGTTGTCTATTTTCAGCCTGCGCTGAAGGTAACGCTTTTGATCCACAAGCAGCCCACAAGCTGCTGTAGCGTCCTTTATTCTTTTTTTTTTCTTCCCCAGTAATATAAAAGATACTTTGTACAGATAGCGAGATGAGTGGATGTTATCTGTCAATGGCTTTTGTGTGGCTTAAATATTTTTGGTCTAGCATGCACTTCTACAACTTTTTGTCTTTCCGCAGTATCACGCAATGACTTGTCAAAGAAGTTAAGAATAGTTTTGATCTTTTTGCTTTGTATTTCAGCTCCTCCAAGCTCTGCGCTAAATAAACCCCAAGTATGCAATGTGACATCCTTGTTTAAGGCCACCGTGCCCTGAAGAAGCCCAGACACGCTTCAGATTTGCATTTAACTTAACATTAATAAGCTTTCAGTCAGGCAGCGCAATTTATTTGTCCTTATGACAAACAAAAAGGTGATCGCTCTCACTACTGAGTGGTTCCGGATGAAAAAGGCCCAAGTGGAAGGAAAAAAAAAGAAAAAGTTCCCCCAACAACAACCCTACCATCGTACTAGTGCTGGTTTTGCTCCCCTGGCACAGCACAGGAGAGAAGAATCAGACCTGGCGGTGGTTTATAAATACCCTTTATCTATTTACACACAGAT